GCCCGCGTGGCACGTTATCTGGAATGGGAACATTACGCTCAAATTGAATGGTCCATTATTTAAGTCAGCTTTATGAGAAAAAAACCTACGTTTATCACGCGAGCTCCGGCAATATTTGATTTCGAGGTAAAATCTAAAATCTAAAACATATTTTTTACAATTTCATTTTCTAAAAAAGTTAAATAGTTTGAAATAAGGTATATATACGATTGGTGGAATCGTACGCGCATTTTCATTCGTTAATAACCACCAAAAGCTATGCTAAAAAGAAACTATGTATATAAGATTGAAATACATAAAGAACAAAACCGGAGCGATCATTCAATCGAACGCGAGTTCAATCAATCAATCAATCAGTTTATTCAATCTACCATTCTGGAAATATAGTTATCAAGGACCTTAGGATAAAAATAATTATTGCATTGAATAGTCCACCACTYGTAGGCACATTGCCATGACTATGTCGAGATCTGCCGCAGAAATCATTTTTCCCTCTGAGCCCTAGCTCCTCATGGTCAGCACCAAGTTAATGGGAAACATTCCTTCGTGCTGACTACGAGGAACGCATGCTCACTTTTGCCGATAACATGCCAGCTAAGTGTTAAAGATGAGTGTATTTCAATAGTTTTACATCGTTTTTCACTTGTGAGACCCATCGTATTTAGAAAATATATCGCTAACGGTTATCATAGTTAACTGTTTTATTTTTATCATTCTATACTATTATACAAGTTAAGACTCCTGTTTCAAGTCCTCTTTTGCTCAGCCTTAGTCTCGTTTGTGCCGTTAAAATATTCAGCTATTCTACCAAAACCAGTGGCATTTTAATCAACTCGTATTGTTCCGTAGTACATACATTCCTTACTATACAATGGCATTTGTACACAATCGAGGCTAAGACTGAGCAAAGGCGAACTCGAAATGGGAGCATTGTTGACAAATTTTCTTTAAAATTGACAGAAAAAATGTATACGCAATGCTACAAATGTCTGAAACATTTTATTTCAAAACTTATTTTCTTAAAATTCTGTTACAAATTTGTTGCACTTATGCCCATAWTATTTACTACTAAGTAAATTCCTATCAATTCGTACATATACCAGGATATGTTGAAAGCCATTTAAAGTTGAGCGCAATGCATAAACATTTCAAAATTTTGTTTGAGTTTCAAAAACTTTAGCTTGTAAGGGTCAAAGGTCGCGTTTCCAAGGCGAACTGGTTTATGACGTATCCAAGGGCAACGTAGAAAATATTTAGTAGCAAAATATTGAGACTTGCATGTGTTAAAAATAAATTTTTGCACGCTTACTGACAAAACTAAAATAATAATAAAGAAGGCGGAAAATAAGAGTCGGAACTAGCATATTTCACGTGCTGATATCAACTAGAATTTTTGATTAAAAAAGGACACTTAAAAAAGTTCATACTGATTTTATCATGGACGAGGTATCTTAGCAAACTAAACTGATTAGTATATACATGTATATATATATATAGAAGAGATGCATTGAATATATATGAGATTGCTTGTATATATTCAGATAAATTGGACAAATAGAGAAAATACCAAGGAAAATAAAATAAAAAATTGGGTATTGTCAAAAAGCGTTCCCAAATGTACAAAACAGAGCATTTCATTGCTAAGAACATTGCACGGCTGAGCTGAGCTTTGATTTAGAGGTCACTATTTTGACAACGAACCATCGACCATAGCGATCAAATGTCACTAAGGAACAAGATTTGAAGTAAGGATCAGGCACATTGGTGACAAAGTGTACTTCATAAACCCTTGAAGGTGATAACTGACAACAACTTCTCTTCCTTAAGAAGATCTTTTTTTTTTAATTTCAAAACTAGCACAACTAACAAAAAAAGATTCAGAGTATTTTAAAGGAAGATCGTTTGGTTCTATATAGTAAAAGTCTTAATGCTTTTCGATGGCATTTGATGGAAGGTGTTGCTCGAACCAGTTCGTGATTTCATCTCTTAATCTAGGGCATTGTCCTGGTGACAATTTGGTTGACATTAATTTAGACTTATGATGTAAGACTTTTCAAATCTTGAAAGACATTTCCATCAAATTCCTAAAAGTTGAAGCGACTCTAAAATCATTGCAAGTATTTGCTTTTAAGTGAGTTCTAAGGAATGAAATACGAAGTGGGACGATTCAAATGGTTCGTAGGTTTTGAAATAGTGGGCAATGTTCAAAAATCAAAAGGTTCATTCGGAAACCAAAACACGGGCCAGTAGAAGAACCTCTTTAATTGAACACTTACACAAAAACAACCTGTTGTTTCCTTGATCCCGGCGCTCTGATTGGCTGCGAGGGTGTCAAGGGTCACCACATTACGTCATTTCATCTTAATCTAAGTGCCCGCGCCCAAACACAGGTAATTCCACGTCAGCCCTTCATTGCCATAGCGCATGCGTAGTGCGTTTAGATTTTATAGGGTGAGATCGTTAAGGCATCATCCTAGGGTCCATTCGAATTTGCGTTTATCATATTGGGACTTGGGGCAAACGATAGGCTTGCCGAAAATAAACAGGTTGGTGAGATTTTATAGGTATAAGCCAGTAAATCCAGAGTCCACAGTTGAATGGAAACTTCCATGTTGGAAAATTACTCTTAAAATGGAGGATCTTTGGTGTCCTGCTCGAGCTCCTGGGTTCATACACCGAGCGTAGTTTACTCTAGCACTCGTTATCAAAGTGTCTGCTTTGGGATATTTTGAATATGTTACGAGTCTGGCTTCGTAGCTTATAACTGAAGGCTGAGCTGCCTTAGAGGTCTATCGGGAAGTCTTCCATCATACCAAGAGGGTCTAGAAAACCTCCCTGAAACGTCTGACTCTAATCTGGGTATATCAGTGTTTCCAAGTGTGGAAGCATACAGAATACTAAATATCCTCTATTGCTACTGGCAATCACCATTTACTCACTCTGGATTTGCTGGCTTATTTATTATAAGATTCAAAAGCATTTTAAAATGAATTTAAGGATGGCATTTCTGGTAAGTAGAAAACTTGTTTATGATACCGTGGGTGTGTGTGCTTTTGACTCCACGATCACTCCTCTCGCCGTAGCCCACTAGTTTCCATCGTATTCTTATCGAAAAGAACACTTATGGAAATTAAGTTGGTTTTTTTCGTTTTCAATAATCATCTTAATTAATTTTATTCCTTTAAGACAAAATCTAAATATAGTTTTGTACATTAGATCATTCAAAATATTCCTTACCCGTCAAATTAGTTTAAACAGCTGATATTATTCTAAACTAAAAAAAGAAAAGCATAGAGCTTAGCTTCATGGAAAGCAATCTTAAGACAAAATATTGGGAATTCAATATCAAATTATATTGAATTTGCAAATTTCAATTTTAAACTGTCTAAATTTTTTTAAAGCAAATCTTACGTCATTGATCGTGCAAGATTTTTGATCTCGAAGCACGCTTGCTCGTTTTAATCAAATTGTCATGTAAAATATCAGGTTGTCTTTCAAAATAGGAAGTACATAGGTGTAAAATCTGTCCGTTGTAAAATCTGATAGTTTTTCGGTTGTCATTTTCGTTGATTGTCAAGTTCGCATGCTGATTGGTCCGTTGCCACCCGCAGCAATTTCAAATTCACTTCAAACTTTCCTTGCTACTCATCGTAGGAATCRAAACGTTGAAAATTCTAAAGTCATCTTTGGAACAGTCTTATAGTAAGTGTTTGTGTGAATGCTTGCAAGCTAGTATTTTTAGGGTTGCATTTTGGCATAGATAGGGCATGGTGGGAGGGGGAGGGGGTTAGTTTTGACATGTAGTTGTTCATGAGGTAACCGAAGCACTAAGTTGGATTTACGCCCATAATTGATTAAAACATGCGAGAGAACACAATACTACAAGAAAATAAGCATAAAGTTAATAGGATAGCAACTTTAGTCTAGAACTTGAATCATTTTTCTTGATGTTTATGTTTTGAAGTGATGTTGACACCTTGAAAACATCAATAACAAACATATTAGAGTTTACTTTTTAGTTTGTTCCTAGTCACTTTAGCTATAGGTACAAAAATTGCAATACCGTATCCACCACAAAAAACTCCTCGCACGCTGATTGGTCAATCCAAAGGAGATTTACAAACAACCAATGGGCACCTGTTGTGTGATCAGGTTTGGACCAATCAGGGCGCGCCCTTACCCGTCCTTGACAGACGACGTTATCGCTACATAGCTTGGTCATGAGGGAAGGAACATTAAGTTTTAATAGTTGGCTTGTCTAATATATAAACAATTCAACTGGTGGCTTGTAGTCACGGTACAATGGCAATTCTATGAACCACTTGTCAAAGAAGTGTTTTGAAAGCTTTGGGCTTTCTTTCAGGTCATGAGGATCGTCTGCCCGGGGATATCGCTTTTTATAGGCCTTGTGCTTTTCCATTATTCGGTGAGTATAACACTTTATCATACCTTTTTTTTCTATATATTTTTTTAAATTTTTCTCGCATGGGTAAAAGTCATGCTTGAATACTTTTGGGGTATCAGCAACTACTACCGTTTTTGTCGTTTTTTAAGTTCACTGCAAGAAAGACCGTCTATAAGCGCTGTATTATGCCTTTTGGGACTTTCTCCTTTTTTTAACTCTATGGTGCAAAATAAGCTGCAGTTAAGATCGATTAAACATCGATTGTTTGACCATTCATCAAAAACTAATCGCAGTTAACTGAACTGTAACCGATTCATCGGCTTCAAATAATTATTATGTGAAGGCTATTGAGTTCTCCTCTGTGGTTCATGTTACCGAGTAATTTTGACAATCCTCTAACGGTTTGCTGGTAAATGGCGCCAAAAACAATAGATTTCTGATCGCAAGAATGACTTCAGTCGCCAAACGACTAACACTTGATCTTTCTTCCATATACGGGCATTAGCACCTGCTGTTAACCAAACTCAGCGATGATGAAGTGAACAAGCCCAGTCACATCGTCCCTTGTTAATCATTTAAGACCTTCGTCGATATTATTTTATTTTTTTCCCAAGAAAGAACATCGTTTCTTTTCGTACCTAAAAACGGTCCAAATGCTAGAACTCCGTTTTCAAAATTGAATGTAAAAATCACTTGTAGAAAAACTGGGGTCCAAAGACGACGATAAACGTACTTTGGGGAAAACCGATCTACGACGTTTGCCCAGTTCGGGCAATAACATTTCAAATAGGACTAGAGTTTTGGATAACTGAAGATATTGGACGAGTTTCGAATTCAATTAGATGTTCKTGGCGATAGTTTTCTCATTGTTTCTCCTACTTCATCACACGGTAAATATTTTCAGGCAAAAAGGGAAATCCTCAGTCYGTAGAGATGAAGAATTCCTTGAATATTGTTAATCAATATATCATTATTTCTACAGCTTTAATTAAGAAATTGTCTTGTAGTTTTTGGTGTGTGAAAAATAATTCATAGCGGGAAAATTCTCTAGGTCTTGAAAATTTATTAAATCATTGTACAAATATATTCTCTTCGCTCGAGAAAAATTCACATCTTAATGTCATCTTCACCTGACGCCATTTTTATTTATTTATTTACAACAGGATGTAGCGGGAACCTCTTTTTAAATTTCTCTTAACGCTCTTCGAAGTATATATTCAATATATTTTTGTAAAATTTATATGTCGTATGGATATCTAAGTTTTGTTTTTACAAATCGACCAGCACTTTAAAGGAAAACATCGCAGAACAAAGAAATTTATAGTATGCATGACTGAGCCTGCGAAATATTTCTTTCTTGCCTTGAATATTTTGTTATCATAGTGTAGTAAGGAATTCTTTAACTGTTGACAAAGTGTTTTTTGGCCAGTTAGTTATGTCTTCGGTTGCATAGCTGAGATGATGACTCGTATAATGACTCACATTTTTTTGTTCTTTTCCAGGCCTCCTTACCAGTGTCGCCTGTGCCACCACTGTTGAACAAACTTCTCAAAGATCAGAATGTCACATTGGGTTTCATTCTAAAGGGTCTTCAAGGACCCCCCGGTACTGCCGGTCAAAATGGTATGTCCGGTTCTCCAGGTCCTATGGGTCCCATGGGTCTTAAAGGAGACCCTGGTATGCCCGGTATGCCCGGTCCACCAGGTATGCCTGGTTCACCTGGGTTGCAGGGACCGCCTGGTTTTGATGGTATGCCTGGTGCTCCTGGTATGCCCGGTCCTGCTGGTATGCCCGGTGGTAGTGGTATGCCTGGACCTCCTGGTCCACCTGGTCTGACAGGTCCTCCTGGTCCCGCTGGCCCTACTCCCATCAGATATGTAAGTATATACTCTTGTCTCACCAACCGTGAAAATTTCAACAACATTGGATTTCGTTTAGCAGACAATCCAATTGTGATCCAAGGTGCTCAGTTCTTTGCTTGCACTGCCAGCCAGTTGCAATGTGTGACACCTTGGCCACTAATTCAAACCACTTGCATTATCCTATATATGCATAAACTTGTATAAGTTAATTCTAGTTTTGTCTAGTTTTTCTAAGTATACCAATTATTCTGCTTCCCACAGAACGGCACCGTCAAATGTGAAGAAGACACAGCCTGGCTTCGATGTAACGAATACAAACACATTAGCATTATCTCCGCCTTCTGGGGACGACGAAACTTTGGCCTCTGCACAGAACACACCGGCAACCTAAAATACGACAAATACTGCCCAACGTCACCACTATTCACCACGAAAGTAAAAGATACATGCGAAGGAACAACGATGTGTGAGATTAAATGCACTAAATTCTTTTTCCACGACCAATCATGCCTCGATGTGTACAAATATTTGGAAGTATATTACAAGTGTATCGAAGTTATCAATGGCCACGAGGTGGTGAACGAAGATAACCTACTCAACGCTAACTTCTTGGGTTAGATTTACCCGTAGATCATAGACACTGAACGCTTACTTGCTAAGGGTTTGTACTACTGTTTAATTTTACTTTGGCTGACAACACCACAACGAGTCGAATGTATAGTTCAAGGGTTGGGTTCTCCCCTTGAGCGAGAGAGAAAATAATATATACATTCAGATATTCAACGTTTCGAAAGAAAATAAATATAATAGTGGCACTTTTGCCCGGTGTAAAATACCATTGAATCTGTATAGCTAGATAGTTATGTTCTATTCCCGTCGTACGTCCAAAAATGGCATTCATTTTTCAAGACTTGACATGCTTTAGAAACCACACTACATTTGAGTGAGAGTGATATTTATCTCTGTATAGGGTCAAAATAATTTATTGAGCGATTCGTTCTCTTATGAAATTGTATAATTAGTGTTAATTTACAAAAACCGTTCAATGTGAAGATAAAAAAGGTGCTCTAATTAACCGCTAAGGGAGGATAATTTTAACAAGACGAAATAGCAATCTGTATTTTACAGAGGAAATTGTGATGTAACCTTCCGTTGGAAATGTAAATAAACCGGTTAATTCAAATGGTATATCGTCGACATCACGTGGTCCTGATCACGTGATTCTCGTAATCCCGCAAGTAGTACTGGTCATAGCGTTATAGAAGCGTGTATGTGCGCATGCGTCATTCTATTTTTATTTGTTTTTGTCTCGTTATACGGGATATGAACCGAAATAAACCGTTCACAAAACTATCATCTCGTGTCACTTGATAGATAAAGCAGTTACTTTGAACTGTACAAAACTACATTTCCCGTAATCATGAGAAAATGTATTTAGATTCGCCAACTGCACCAGCCAATAGCTAGCGAGCCCCCTTCACACTTAATCTATGAAAAAATCCTGTAGCCTCGTATCTACACGAGGCCGTGCACTAGTCAAGCAAACATTAACAAAATGGTCTTGAATCAGAGTGAATACGTACAGAGATTTCTCTTTCCTCGAACAAAAGGGAAAGCAATACCTCGACTAACACGGGATTGCGATGTCAGCTGTATCCTCTTTTTAGTTGTTTAAAATTGACCTTTATATTTTTGTAACGCGTTGTTGGATTAAACGGAATTGACGAACTCTTAATAAAAGATGTGGTTATTGTTTATGATATAACTATAAACGAGCATATCGAGTCTTAAAAGCTGCAAAAARCTCAAAAGCCGTAAAAAACTGCTTTTTAAACCTACAAAACTCCAAGTACTTGCAAAATAGATATAGTGTTGTTTACCCCTCCTAGTCCCCTAGCACTTAATTTAATGAACATCATGTATAATTGGTTTCCATATCAAAAAACAAATTAATGTCCCAACGGGATTAATGGACGCTTTGCTTTTAACTAATCCATTCTTTTGTCTTTTGATTGTTTCTTTCGTTTCCTTGCGCGCCCACCTTGTTCTCATTGGCTTCTTTTGTCTTGTTCTCACTATGTAAACACTTCTTTCTACCACCTTTTCCTCTTTTACTCCGACGAAGGACTAGCGTCCGAAACGTAAGTTTTTTTATCTTTTCACGGTGTAAAATTTACCCTTTTATCATTACTGTCTCATTAGTAACACCGACGCAGCTCACACTAGTTTTTAGCTAGTTATCTCCTCTTTAACTAGGGCCATGCAGGGACGATGCAGGGACGTACACCAGTTTACTTACAAAACCTTTTCTCCGACTACCATACTAAATACAACCTTCGAAATCATGATCATAAACTGTCAATACCTAAGCCACACACTGAATATCTAAAACGA